AAATAATAGTGTCCCGATTGCATGATGTATATATCTATATATATGATACTTGATTATATTGTGTTTCGAAAGCATTATTGTTGTTTATTATTATTATTATTAGTTTTTTTTAAATTTTTATTTTCCCTCACTCAGCACACACCTCCCAAATCGTTTTCTCGTTTCGTCCATTTTATTCTTTATGCGTTTTTCCTTTTCTTCTTATCAGTTTGATAAGTTTAATTTTTTATTATTTGAACTTCTGTGATGAGTTCAGTAGAGTTCACTATTTTTTCATCAGTGAAATCGTGGAATTGAGTGCGAAGGTTGGAATTTTAGTAATGCGATTAAAAGGAGTGAATGTGGTAATTTACATTGTTCTCGTCGAAATTAATAAGTTGTTATGGATTTTCCATACTGATTTTTGATTTTGAGGTATGTGGTGTTCATTTTTGTGGATAGATGAACACAGAGAGACGAATAATATAGATTCTCTAGTCCATGGGAATAATAATTCTAGTCCGTTGAAGTTGTGCTTTATAAGGATGTAGGTATAGTTGAGTGGAATGCTGTGGTGGTGAACTGTAATTCGTTGGATGATACTGTGTGGTGCCTTGGATTTGTAATTTGTTTTTTAATACTCTTTGTTTTTTGTTTGCCGTTTCGAAGTCTTTATTCATTTGGAACATTGCTTTTACTGTGTAATCTACCTATTACATCAATTCATTCTAACTGGCGTTAACCGGAGTGAGATACGGTGATGGATTGGATTTGAGCTTAAGCTTGGACTGAGACTCATACAGGGGTAGACTGTCTGTTGCACAAATAGGTGGTGCTTCGGTATGAGCATCAGGTCAATGTACATCTCACTTTGATTATCGCCGCTTTTTTATCGTCAACAAGAAGCATTCATAATTATGTTCGGTATTTATCGTAGACTCTGTCTCAGTTTTTGCAGTCATTTTTCCACGTTCCTGAAGTCATTTTCCTATTCATAATGCATTTCTTTATATTCTCGTTTGTTCGTTTTATTTTTTCTTTCAAATCGTTCTGTTGAAAATCGGCTTTTTAATGATATTCTAATGTCGTATTGTAGCGAATCCCGAAAATATTCAT